CCCCCCCACACCTCCCCCCCACCTCCCCCCCCCACCACTCACAAGTCCACAGATGGTCTCTTCTGACCCACCACCTGTAGATGGGAAGTTCCAGCAACCCCCTCTTGGGGTTCCATTAATTTGCTAGAGTGGCTCAGAGAACTTAGAGAAAAATTGACTTAAATTTACCAGCTTATTAGGGAGGATATTATAAAGGATATAAGTGAAGAGCCAGTTGGAAGAAATGCACAGGGCAAGCTTCGTGGGATGGGGCTCAGAACTCCAGTTCTTTCCAGGAGCACCACAATCCTCGCACTTCTAGGTGTTCATCAACCCTAAGTTCTCCGAACCCTGTCCTTTTGGGTTTGTGTGGAGGCTTCATTACACAGGCAGATTGGTGAAATCATTGGCCATTTGTGATTGAACTCTATTGCCAGCCCCTGTCTCCTCCTCTGAGGTCAAAAGGGTGGAACTGAAAATTCTGACCCCCCAGGCACATGGTTGGATCCCCTGGCCATCAGTCCAGACCCTTATAGGCTACGTAGGGGCTTTCCCCAATTCTCCTAATTAACAGAAGACCCCCTTATTGCTCTTCGATTAGGAAATTCCAAAGGTTTTAGGAGCCCTTTGCCAGGAAGGGGGATGAAGCCCAAAAACAAATTGCTTATTAGAAATCACAGTATCACCTCTAAGCTATTTAAATTACCTGGTTGTTCTGGGAAAGTGACCAATCCCATTCTCTTCCCATCTTCTGCTCTTGGGCTTCCCCTGTGTGGCAGAGCCCCAGGAGCTGAGTTCCCATTGTGGACTCATTCACTTGGGGCATCAGACTATCAGCATTACCTGAACAAAGAACATTTTGAGTCAAGCGTTGTGAAAGGTGTTGAAGGCATCCGCTAATGATTCCTTATCTGTTTGTTCCCTCAGGTACGGAACCCTGGTATTTCTATTTGATTAATGGATTTCTTAATTTTAACGTAGCCTTTGCTTTGGCTCTCCTGGTCTTACCACTGACTTCTCTCATGGAATACTTACTGCAGAGATTTCATGGTGAGTGGTGTAAGGGATGATAGGTTTTTGGGGAGGAAGAAGCAAATAACAGTGTATACCGAGAAGTGAAAATGATTCTTCTTCTGTTCTCCATTTTCTTCCTACGGAGATGGTTGGCTTATTGAAATGTCAATCTGTACTTATAAATTTATGTGAAGATTTGGTTAATAATTGCAAGTTAAACTGACAAAGGGAGGAACTTTATATCCTTTCAGGTGGGGGGAAATGAGTATAACATACGGAACCACCCAGGGAGGCAAAAACAGTTCCAGAATCTCAGGAGTCTTGTGTTTTTTTTTTTTTTTTTTAAAGTGCATGTTGGCATGGAAGATGGCTTAAGATAATAAGTGATAGAGGTCAACGTTCTTTGGGGAATTATTTCAACCAAAAATTTGAAAACTAAACCATACAGGGATTTCCCTCACGTTTGATACTGAAGTGAGAGCGGCTTTGGACTTCCTAAGAAACATTATGCTTCCCTTTGTTCCGTTTTGCTTCTGTGTTTGCCTTATCGTGGAAGGCTTGGTTTGTCATTTATTTTGCTTGCTCTGACTCTCTCTAGTGCACAGCCAGTGTTTTCTCAAGTTGTCACGGATTTGGGCATCTAGTGCCCATGTTTCTTTTATGGAAGACAGATTTGAGCAGAAATTCATATGAGCTTTGGAAAGAGATTTAATTTCAGACTCTTCAGTCTGATTTGGATGCCATATGATCTCCCCATCCCACCCCTCATTCTGCTTTTCTACTATTAATGGTTTATAAGAGTTCACTGTGCTATACTATTCGAATATGAAAGCAGTCATCGATCACTTTTGTTTTAACATGATCATAATGCCATTATCCTAACAAAATCAATAGTAATTCCTTAAACTCTAATACCCAGTTGATATTCAGGTTTCCTACATTGTCTGAAAAACAGCTTTTTATAGTTAGTTTTTTTTTTTTTTTAAAGGATCTGAAAGGGGTCATATACTGAATTTAGTGTTAAATTTCTTAAGCTTTATATGAGGTTCTGCCCCCTCTTCTTTTTTCTCCTGAAGATTTCTAAAGAAATAGGGTCATTCATCTTGCATAGTATCCCACATTTGGATTCAGCTCTTTGTCACCTGGAGGTGTTAACTTATTCCTCCATTCCTTGTATTTCCTAAGGATCGCTATCTTTTGTGAAAAGTAACTTTTTTAACTGTAAAAATACTTCATGCTTGTGGAGAATTTGGAAATGCTTGTGATGTAAGTATAAAAACAGCATATTAAGCTGTTCTCTATAGTATGAATCCAATTTTGGTTTAAAAATATGTAATTTACACACATGTCCACCTAGTAAGAAAATGCTGTTTTTTCTTTATACTTTCTGTGTATTTTATGGTAGAAAAAATACCCTTAAAGGAAAGAAAGAAAGAAACAAACAAACAAACAAAAAAAAAAAACAAAGAATCAGGAAAGAAATTGGCTATTCCATCAAGTAGTACAACTATAGTTCTGATTTTGTACATTTTATGGAGGACATTGAAAAATTTTAGGCCATATTTTATTTTTTTTAATGTTTAAATATTTATTTTAGTAATTTCTACCCTCAATGTGAAACTTGAACTCACAACCCCAACATCAAGAGTTCCATGCTTTTCTGACTGAACCAGCCAGGTGCCCCAGGCCATATTTTAAAAGTGTATTTGTCTAAAAAAATGCATTTGTTAGCCTTTTAAGTTACAGAAAAAAAAAGATTTCATTTTCTTATAATTAAGAAAACTCTAATCTAAAAAATTTCCTGGGAAGGTTTAAGTCCTAAATTATTGCCTAAGATCTCATGGCAAAATCTTAGAGTAGAAAGTTTAAAGGATAAGCTTGGTATTTCAGTTCCAGAGTTTTCATCCCTAAAGAATTTCTAGAGAATTCCAGATAACTTAGGAACAAGATGGATATCAGTGACAGTCCTGAGCTGCTCTTCTAAACTTGCTCATTGTAGACATAATGAACACCAGGGGGCGCTGTCTACCTACCCTTTGCCAGTGATTTCTAGGCGCTGCTGATTATCACTAATTGGAGCACAGTGGGGGAAGCCTTCCTGGTGGGTTGCAGGTTTATCACTCAGTGTTCATGTACCTAACCATGGGAACTTTCCAGCAGGTGCTTGGGTCTCAGCACTCATTAAATGCCTTTAATTCTTTCACATGCTTCAAGTATATTTGGGTTCCAATTTTGGGATTCAGAGTGGATGGGTATTGCAAAAGAGGAGAGAAAACGTCATCCGTGTACTTCTTTTAAGAGTGTTTTTATATTTGCATTAAGACAAACTCTTGTGGCTTGGCGAAAGCCAGGAATGGGGGCTTGAGAATCCAGCTTTTTCTTTCCTTTGATCTATAACTACTTGAACAGACTGATTGGTATACAAGAAAGGAGATCGCTGTATTAAACAGAACATGGGAATTAAAACCCAAGAACGGAGTTTACATTATGCTTTTGGTTAATCTCAGGAACCTTTAATCTTAGTGGCAGGACTCACTGGAGAGAGAAGGCTTTTTCCATCCAGTGTAGAAATTATTAAGCTCTGTTACCCATTTGCTTGACTTTCATTTGTGTTCTAGCCAAATCCAGTATTGTGCCTCCTGTTAGATACTGGCTGTCTTGGGGGAGCTCAGGAGTATACACCTCTTTCTACTTAACCCCTTTACTACGTCAGAGGAAGTGTGACTACAAGAGCCGAAACATTTTAGGGGGTGCCCTAGGGCGTATTCCTGTTTGTGATCAAGAGAACATTGAAACCAAATGTGTTGTTTCATTCTAATATGGTGAAAGGTGGATATTTTTCTGTGTCTTACAGTTCAGAATTTAGGCCACCCATATTGGCTTACCTTGGCTCCAATGTATATTTGGTTTATAATTTTCTTCATCCAGCCTCACAAAGAGGAGAGATTTCTTTTCCCTGTATATCCACTTATATGTCTCTGTGGTGCTGTGGCCCTCTCTGCACTTCAGGTGAGTTTCAGGGAAATGGATGTCTGCTTCATTCCATTTCGCTTTTTAAATTGGTCATAAAGCTTAAAGACAAATTATGGCATGCTTCTCCCAAGATGTTTTATCCATGCATTAAACCGGATACAGATCACGTTATTAAAGCTTGATGTATTGATGGCTTGACTGTTGATCATACTCTTGAGCTGGTTACATATTTGCATTGTTAATTTGTGTGTTAATTTCTTTCTGTTGCCAACAAGAATCCAGTTGCTGTTAAAGGAGTTTTACTAAGTCATTGTATAGGCCATCCACAGGACAGTGGTATCACTGCAGAGCTACTGGAATGTCTGTTCTTCAACTCCAAGATCAGATGAAAACTTGCTCACGTGTTTGGGATAACACCAGGCATTTAGCAGTATGGGATGCTTTGTGATCCTGGCTTAAAACCTGTCCAGGTCAATTCCTTGTCAGAACTAATCTTGAATATCTTTCTGTGGCCTCAGAAGCCCCAAGGCTCTTTTTTGACCTCTGCTACCACTTGCAACTGGCAGTGAAGAGTAATTAGGGTGACAGTTATTTCTGCCCCTTTAACAGATAGATAGAGGTATAATTTACCCATTTAAAAAGTGTAAAATTGAATCATTTTTAGTATATTCACAGATATGCATAACCATCACCACAGTGAACTTTAGAACATTTTTATCACCTTAAAAGCTCTGTACCCATTAGCTGTCATCCCTGCCCCCCCTTCATATCTCCCGTGCCGTAAGCAACTACTAATCTATTTTCTGTCTCTGTATATTTGCCCATTCTAGGCCTTCCATGTAAATGGAATCCTATTTAAGTCTTCAAAAAGTCTTCTGTGACTGGCTTCTTTCATTCAGCAGTATGTTTTTAAGACCTATCCATGTTAGGATGGTAGTTTAAAAAAATTTAAATTATAAAAGTAATTGAACTTTATTGCACATAATTTTTCATTTACTACTTTTTAAAAACACATTTATTTGACAGAGATCACAAGTAGGCAGAGAGGCAGGCAGTGAAAGAGGGGGAAGCAGGCTCCCTGCTGAGCAGAGAGCATGAATCGGGGCTCTATCCCAGGACCCTGGGATCATGACCTGAGCCGAAGGCAGAGGCTTTAACCCACTGAGCCACCCAGGCACCCCTCATTTATACTTTTTAAAAAGATTTATTTATTTGAGAGAGGGAGAGTGTGTGAGAGTAAGAGCCTGTGGGGCATGGGTCAGGGAGCAGAGGGAGAGGGAGAGAGAAACCCAAGCAGACTCATTGCTGAGTGTGGACCCCAATGTGCGGCTTGCTTCCACAACCCTGAGATTATGACTTGAGCCGAAACCAAGTCAGATGCTCAACTAAGTGCATCACCCAGGCACCCCAGTCTTAGTACTTTTTAAATTAGCCCTACTATCCTAACAAAACCACTTTCCTTCCAGCATTTTTATCTATCATATACCAAACTTTATTAGGGTTGTAATCTAAATGTACATATAACTTTATATCCCTTTTAATAGAACTACATCACATGATTTTCATCTATACCCATCTTTTGAATAAGCGTATATTCTAAATTTGGTATAAAACATTATTGTGTAATATATGTAATATACTGAATTTGAAACATGTAATGATGAGATAAAACTTATGGTAGGTTTAGGATGCTTCCTTATTTCAGTATTATAAACAAACAATGCTAGGATGGATATCTTCCTTTAGGTATTTGGATTGTTTCCCTAGGACAGATTGCCCCAAATATGAGGGAGTTTAAACAACCCATGGCACTAACAAGTAAATATTTGCCAAGTTTCACTTCCCCAAAGTTGAGGTCTAGTCTTGGAAGGAGAGGAGGAGGTCAATCTAATGGGAAGTCGCTCAAAGATTGTAGAATTGATGCATGTATGTGTATATTGTAATAATATTCCTCTAGTTTGTAAAGCAGTTTAGCAGATAATTAACAGCCTTTTCCTGATGGTCTGTGAGAGGACTCCTTTTTTTCTTGTTTGGTCAAGAGACATTCCGTTGATACTAAAAACTGATGAAAACTTCTGAATGAGAAAAGTAAAGATGAAATACTCATTATATCAAAATAGAGACACTTCATATATCAAAGCAAATTGCCGAAAAGCGCTTTTGTTGGTTTATTTATTTATTTATTAAAAATTTTTTTTTTTAGGCCGGGCCCACGCCTAGCGCAGGGCTTGTACTCCTCATCCTGAGATCAAGAGTCACGTGCTCCACTGACCGAGCCAGCCGGGTGCTCCGGCACTTTTGTTTGAATATTAAAAAAAATAATAATAAATTATTAGGACCTTAAGCACTGGAGAGGTTTCCACATATTTATCCTATGAAGCGGGTGAGAATTCCTCTGGCGGGGCTGACCAGTAGATAGTCTTGACAGAGTTTGTTTTCATCTTAGAACTCAGAGTGGGTACCTCACTGAGTGTTTGCAAATGCTCAGACCCTTCACAGAATGTCTGCTGCTGCTTCCTCCCTCTTGGTGTTAGGATGTTTTACAGCCGTGTTATGTATATTCTGCAAGTTCTTTTTTTTTTTTTTTTCCTTCAATACAGTTTTCTTTCCTTCTAGAAATGCTACCACTTCGTGTTTCAGCGATACCGCCTGGAGCATTACACGGTGACGTCAAACTGGCTGGCCTCGGGAACACTCCTTCTGTTTGGGCTCTTGTCCTTCTCTCGCTCTGTGGCGCTGTTCAAAGGTAGATGCACAGAGAACGTCTTACCCCAACTCATGAGGCACTTCACGTTGGGTTTTGATGGACACGTGGTGAACACAGTTCAGCTTCGGCCGGGAGAAGGACTGTACGCTAAGGAGAACCCGTGGACTTAATATAGTGACGGGGATATGACTTCTCTACCTTAAGATCAAAGAGAAGACTGAGAATGCTAGAAGGAATTTGTGACTGACTATAATTTTTTTTTTTATTCTTGTTTTTTTTTTTTTTTGTGGTTGTTGCTATTGTTGGGTTTTTAAAGGATGCTTTTTCATTCTGAAGGCTGAATTAAGGAAGCTTTGAACATAGGAAGCAAATTTGGGGCCCAAGCCCCATGATTATATTCTTCCTGTAATCATTATTTGGATCCACAGGATTAAAATGTGCTCAAAGAATAGAAGTTAAAAAGGCAGAAGGGTGTAGAGAAGAGCAAGAAAGCAAAGCTATTTGGTAGAACAGGGTCTCTGCTGTGATCATCTTACGAGCTGTAGAGACACTGGGCACCAGTGGGGCAGGCTTCCTTCTGCGTCTCCTGGGAACCTTCACACTCTTCCATTATGCACGAGTTACGGGGGACATTGACAGGCATTATGATTCAGTGTCCACCTCTCATCTTACTCATCTTTGATTTCACAAACCTCTGTCCCTTCCAGGGTATCACGGACCCCTTGATTTGTATCCAGAATTTTACCGAATTGCCACAGACCCAGCCATCCACACTGTCCCGGAAGGCAGGACCGTGAATGTCTGTGTAGGAAAGGAGTGGTATCGCTTTCCCAGTAGCTTCCTTCTGCCTGATAAGTAAGTTTTCCTTTAATTCCCAGAGTTTTATTTTTTATTTTTCTATTATTTATTTATGTATTTATTTGTTTTTTAAAGATTTTATTTGACAGCGAGAGAGGGAACACAAGCAGGGAGAGTGGGAGAGGAAGAAGCATGTTCCCCAATGAGCAGGGAGCCCCACATAGGGCTCGAGCCCAGGACACTGGGATCATGACTGGAGCTGAAGGCAGATGCTCAACAACTGAGCCACCCAGGCATCCCCTAATTCCCAGCGTTTTAAATCAGGGAGTAAAAATAGCAGTTCTGTGGCAGTGTCTCCTTAATTTTTCTTCCATGTTTGGATTTTTCACAAAAAGTTGTTGAATAACTGACCATTTCAGAGCTTTTCAGAGCTGTGAGATCTGCAATGTGCAACCACAGACCATGTCCAGTAGACTGGGTGCTGTGTGTGGCCACACACCCACTCTACCTGGAACCATGGAGGTCCAGGGACTTCTAAAAACACTTGAGGCCCTAGGCTTCTAGTGGCTCTTATTGAGGATCCGTATGTAAATTTCAGTAATCATCTGGTATTAATTCACTTCCAGAAGTGGTCTAGAAACTCTAGTTGGAAGAGTGTTTTTAGAGAAGAAATGTTTGTCATCCAGCAATAGTGAAAGTTCTTTACCAGCATGTGGATGCTGGGGAAAGCTGTGATTAAGGTAATTGTGCCACTTGCCTTCATGCTCTCTGTTGTTGGATGATAGCACAGGCTCTGGAGTTCCGTATGTTTGCTTAATTCGGATGGAGAAGGTCCTATTTAGGGAAAAGGGAAGTCGGGTTAAGATGAGTCATGTTGTTCCATTTGGGGGATTGGCTTCAGCAGCTTAGCTGGTGGGGGTATCTTGGGTTGACTGAAGATCCCGTATCAGTCATTAATCATTAAATTAAAATGTTGGGTTTTCTTTTTTTTGAAGTATTAACTAACATTAGCCTTTGCCTTTTGCCTTTGCAATAGTTTCATAACTAAAGATACTTGTGAGAATTACTCAGGGACAAAGTACTTCTCCCATAGTGTGTTCTTGCATTTCACTTTTTTCCTACCTGATGAATTTGCTTTAATTTTGTTAAGTCCTTCTATCATGTGATTACTGGTGATAAATGGGGATGCTTCTCTGGTAGTTTGATGGAAGGACCATTTGGTTGCAAATTTTAGTGCTAAGAGTTGGCGGAATGGGTTGAGAATCCCTCTCGAAAATTTCCCAACGATGTTGGACTCAATCATGACCTTTGCCTCTGTGTTCCCTGGTGGAGGTTTTAGCAGAAATACTTTTTTTCTCCAAGCGAGATGTTTTTCACATGAATTTTTTTTTTTGGCTTGTTTATTTCAAGTACATTTAGCAATATGGGCCCCCTGTGTTTTTCTTACTCTCCCTTATTTGTGTTTCTGACAGTTGGCAGCTTCAGTTCATTCCATCGGAGTTCAGGGGTCAGTTACCAAAACCTTTTGCCGAGGGACCACTGGCCACCCGAATTGTTCCTACTGACATGAATGACCAGAACCTGGAGGAGCCATCCAGATACGTAAGGACAACCATTTCCTTTTACCACTTGAAAGAAAGTTCTAACCCTAAAATCTGTTGGCATGCACTTTGGAAGCTCTGGTGAAATGGGAATTTCTTAGAGAGTGATTTCTTTAGGGTAAGGGATATAACAGCTTTTGTTGAGAAAGATAGTAATTTAAAAAACAAATTTATTTTAAAATTTCCTCTTATTTTCTATGTGAAACACACAGTTCAATGTATTTTCCAAGCTGGTCTGGAAATTTTCTTACATTGAATTCGAATCATTTTGAAACACATTCTGAAACTCCTATCATTCCCTGGCTCATTAAAATATTTGGTGGGGAACTTTCAAGTTCTCAGTAGACCTTTGACCTAATTATCAGTGTATTCCGGTTTGAGCAAATGGACGTCAGTGACTGAGGCTGTTTTCCTGGTGAGCGCGTGGTGCAATCTGTGTCAGGGTCGTGCTCTTCCACCCACTCAGCTTTATGTACCCCAGGATCCCGTGTGGTTTTATTTCAGTTCCTTTGAAAGATGACACTTGCGCCATTTGATACTTATAAAATCTTTGATTGTCCAAAAGGTGAGCGCAGTAAAGATACTGTTCCTGGTTCCCAGAGACTGTAGATGAGTATTTTATAAAGTTATTAGAAAGCACTTTTTTTGGCATCCTGTCTTTTAAAGAAACACTTAACGGTTTAGATGTCAAACACATCTTGGGTAGGTGTTCCCATATACTTCCTCCATGAAATGGGATATGGTATTGTGAAGTGCTTCTGCGGCCACACGTGGCCTTTTGTCTCCCACATGGAGACCACCGGGGCTTATGAGGGGGAGTCTTACTGTGGGAGTTTAAAATATAAGCCATGGAAAGGGCCATTGTCGGATACATACTTGACCTGGCCCCCTGCGAAGGTAAAATCTGTGTTCCATCAAAGGGTTTATGTGAGAGCTTTTTTCCTAACTTTAGCTTCTGATTCCTGGAGCATTGACAATACCCCAGGATGGGGTAAACTGTTGTTGGTCATTTTTGTTTTAGCTGCAGATACTCTCCTGACAGCAGGCCTTGTTGGGGATCACCGTGAGTACACTGGAGAGTCAGAAGGGTAGGCGTGCACACTGTGATGGGGAGGGAGACACACAAACTGATAGTGGTGTTGTCACAGCTATGTTTTAGGAAGAAGTAGCATGGAGTAGTAAAAAGGAGCATGGACTTTGAGTCAGGTAGGCCTGTGTCCCAAGTCCTGGTTCCGTTGCTTACTTTGGTGATCTTGGGCAAATGAGTTAACTCTTTATTTAACTAATTTATTTCTATCTGTTAAATGGGAATAATGGCACATTTGGAAGATTATAATGAGCTTAGATATTCTATCATATCTATCCTATCATATCGTATTAGCATAGTGTGTGCGTAGATTTTCCCACAAATGTTCTTAATCTGATAATGCTATATCAGATGGATTGGAGGTCAAGAAACCTTAAGAGGATTTATAATCTGCTTGAATCTATCTCTCCTTCCTTCCTTTTCTTGTTTTCCAGTCTCATTTTTGTCTGCCCACACTCATCATTGCCTTTTCCATCCCAGTGACTTTGCTTATCTTAATGACCAACCGTGCCTAGACTACCCTTGCCTCCCTCCTTATGCCATCAGAACTCTCTTCCTGTCTGTAGCCTTTCCCACCTACCTAAGCTCATGGTGAGCTGTGCTCCTTTAAATGCCTGAAATTCTCACCTCTGCCTCTCAGCCATTCATTTTTGTCTTATGTTATTTACGTATTTCTGATATGTATGTCCTGGGCATACTGTGAAGAGAATGCTTCTTCTGTATTCCCCATAGCATCTGGGATAGTGCTATAAGTCTAGTCGTTCACCTTCATGTGCTTTCTGAGTGGGGAAATGTACACTTCTCGTCATTGGGACAGTGATCTTCAGAGAAAGCTGACTGTAAAATCTACAGTGGCTTTTTGCACATTTCTTAGGCTTTGGTCACTGGCTGTCTTTGGTTAGATCATATTTCCATACTTTCTGCTACCACACACTGTTCAGTTTAGTTAAGTGGCTCTATCTTAGCTTTACCCAAAAGCAAAGATTTTTCAGAGTACCTATAGGAGTCACCAAAGTGCTATCTGATTAAAAACAAGTCTGATGTGTCTCCTCAGTGTGTGGTGTCCACCGTTGTGCTCACCCACCTTCCTGTGTTTGAGAGTTTTTGTGCAAAGTTCTTTCTGACATTTCCTGCCTGGTAGGACAAGTGCCCTCCCAATCCAGGCTGCTCACCTTTCACCCTTGGGCAAGTAAAGGAGACATTCGACAGCTTGCTGTGAATTCAGCGTGAACGATGATCAGGGATTCATTTCTTTTAGTCGGTTGGTTTTCTTCTGATGATAAAAGCAGTATAGAGGCGCCTGGGTGGCTCAGTGGGTTAAAGCCTCTGCCTTTGGCTCAGGTCATGGTCCCGGGGTCCTGGGATCGAGCCCCACATCGGGCTCTCTGCTCAGCCGGGAGCCTGCTTCCCTCTCTCTCTCTCTGCCTGCCTCTCTGCCTACTTGTGATCTCTGTCAAATAAGTAAATAAAATCTTAAAAAAAAAAAGCAGTATACATTCATTGTATAAAATAATAAAGGCCTCTATAATTCTATTACCCAAATATTAAACTATGTTACCATCTTGGTGTTTTTGTCTCTTACTTGTTTCCCTTGCATATATATGTAAATATGTTAACAAAAATATCAGTTTTTTAAGAAACGGTGCCAGGACTATGACTGTAATAATAACTTGGCCTTGTGTGTAGGAGCACACGCTAGACTACATCAGTGTTCTTTCCTTCCGGTATCAGTCCTAGTTCTTTCAAGAAGGCAAAGTCCTTATGTTCCCTGTCTTTCCGGAGCATGCTGGATGGCAGCAGTGTTTTTATCTGCCTGTTGGCTCTGAGTGACAGGTTTTAGCCAACTTCGGCTTCAGTGCTTAGTGATGAGATCTGTCTCTTTCTGGTCTGCTTGGAAATGAGAACACATTCATGACTTCCTTTAGTTCTCTCTCTTCCTTGACTTCTGAGTTGATCAAGAATTAAGAGTGTGTGTGGGCGCCTGGGTGGCTCAGTGGGTTAAGCCTCTGCCTTCGGCTCAGGTCATGATCTCAGGGTCCTGGGATCGAGCCCCACATCGGGATCTCTGTTCAGCGGGGAGCCTCCTTCCTGCTCTTTCTCTGCCTCTCACCCTGCTTGTGATCTCTCTCTCTGCCAAATAAATAAATAAAATCTTAAAAAAAAATAAAAGCATTAAGAGTGTGTGTAAAAGGGCACCTGGGTGGCTCAGTGGGTTAAAGCCTCTGCCTTCAGCTCAGGTCATGATCCCAGGGTCCTGGGATCGAGCCCCACATCGGGCTCTCTGCTCAGCGGGAAACCTGCTTCCTCCTCTCTCTGCCTGCCTCTCTGCCTACTTGTAATCTCTGTCAAATAAATAAAATCTTAAAAAAAAAAAAAGAGTGTGTGTAAAGGCTCTGTGGTTTCTAAGGCACTGTTGGAACTACCTTGCAGAAATATTTTTTTTTGCTCCATATTCTTTCATAGTTGATAGTGAGTAGCTTTTGCATATCTCATTAATGAATGGGTGGCATTTTTACAGAGATTTTTACAGATTTTCTGCCAAAATCAAGGTGTGAATTTAGAAGATACATTCAGTGTCTCCTCTTTATTAATTGGCAAATCCAGTTTTTTGTTGGCTCTTTCAAGATGAGTGATACCCTTCTGACTCCCAACCTGATACCTGATGTGGGAGCTAGAGGAGTAACAAACACCTGTTCAGGAGGGAACTTAGACTTTTCTCTGATTTTAACTTAATGCGTAAGCAGACTTGTAGGAAGCTTGTCCATCTGCTCTCTTTGAAAAGATGGAAGTGTTCCTTGATGACTTTTCCCCAAACAGTGATACAGTCAGTTCTGCTCTAAGGTGATATAAAGTTACTTTATATAAAGTCATTGTGTGGTTAAAAAAAAAAACAAAAAACAACCCAGAAGGCTTATGGGAAAAATGCGATTAGGGACACAGTACTCAAAAACATTGTCAGTGACACATAAAAAAAAGATACAAGCCTATAAAAATGGTCACATGGTTTCACATGTGTTGAGCAGCTGAAAGTATGTAGGTATTAGAATAATGCGGGAGTTTACCTTGAAACAGACCTGATATATGCTTGTGGCAGGGGTGCTGGAAGGCTTATCTGCAACAGGACAGCAAGTCATCCTGCCCGAGTGGCCGGGTGTGGCTGGGAGCTCGGTGTGCCCCACAGGCACAGGGAGGCCATGGAGTGTGCATCTGTGCGTCCGTCGTGTTCTACTCTGAGGAGCTCGGCCGAGTGCAGTCTTCGCTTCACCTCGTGTTTCTCGTGGATTAAATGACACATGAGCCAAAGCAGAAATGGAATTATGTTCAGACTGGTCCCTAATATATCCGTTGTGTTGGAACAAATTTGCATTTTCAGAACAAGTGTTACAACAGAATTGACTGTAAATTCAGTCAAAACTGACTTAATTTTGTTCTTAAGTTCCCTGCCTTTCCCATTTAACCAGTGGGAAGAATTACGAGTTTGGAAGGGAATTTAAGATACCACAGAGTCCGCGATCCCTTCATTTTATGGTGAAGAAACGGAGGCTCAGAGGGGTTGTAGCCTGACAGAGGTTAGTATAAGCAGCTTGGTTTCAGGATGCCCCCATATACTTTGCAAAGCTCCTCTTCCTTCCACAGCCACTTATAGTTTCTACCATATGGCATATCCCTTGAGGGTATATTTGCGGTCATGGTTAATCATTCTTTGATGTAACAAGGTTGAATAGACAGTAAATAGCTAAGCATTAATTTTCACAGAAGTTACTTTACGTTTCTCGAGCTCAGTTATATATGTGTATATATATATATATATGCCAGGTATTTTAAGTAGCAGTTGTTTGTCTTTAGAAATAATGAGGGTCTTCACCCCCTTTTCTTCCTGTCCTCTTTTATCTTTCCTCCTCCTCTTAGTAGAA